TCACATGAGCAGAGCGTTATATCACAAACAATGGCGACCAGAATCGATTGTCGGACCATGGAGCACTTCCTGAGTAAAATCCAAATAATAGGTTACTGAATGATTTATTCAACAATAAATAATAATAAGGACAGAGTCACCAAATTTGGTTTTATAATAATTTTATTCGTTAAACAGTATGAACCTTGTAATAAACTTATACATTTACCTAAGTAGGTATGTAAGTACATAGCATAATCAACATATAGTGTGTTGTTAACTGTATAAACCTGAATAAATTTAAACAAGTAGATAAAAATAGCAATTTTGTCATGTATCAAGAAAATATTTGTTTTACATTCTGTATGCAAACACCGTATCACTCAAGCTTATCAACATGGCACTAGAACAGCTGGCCGCCTACTTAAACTATATTGTTATAACCACACCGAAACGATTAAGTTCGTTGACATAACTTGTGCTGCCTGACGTCGCGACAGTCCCATACAATAACGACATTGATAAGCTCGCACCATTTACAGGAAAATATACACTTATTATAGGAATGAATAGCACACTGAGAATATTATCGCATTTTATTTTGCATAGTAATAAACTGTAAAAATACGTAAAAACCGGTAAATGTTGAAAAATAAAACCCCTTACCAGTTCCAAAAGAGTGTGATCCGTATAACAACCAATTGTAGCACAGCAGTAAACACTTTCAGAACACTTAACCGTTGTTTTTCATGCACTGTTAGGAAAGGCACAATGCGTGTAAACATGCGCGTGCGTCGCCGTATACTGACGGGAGTTGGGATCAACACGGACGGATGTGTGACGATGATTCAGAAACTAAGCGGGTGTCCGCCAACCGTTCTCTAGAAACTTTACGATTGCCGAACTACTGATCTTATGAGTGAACGCAGAGTCCGACCGACACTGAACTGTAGCTGTGGCCTATGACTCACTCATTACGGAGTGACGTACAACACATGAACGATGACAGCATAAGTACGATACGCGTAACAGAACATGACAACTGAGCCAATGCTACACCGATAATGTTCAATACTGATGCATTTTTAACCATTCCACATTGCGAAGGTTGAATGAAATTGTACGTGCATTGCGTATGCACTCCGACCTTCCCAAAATACATAGACGACTAGTCGTGAAATACTTAGCTCATAAAACTGAGTACACTGTTGCATGTATATTTTTAGTCGTGTCATAAATAAATACGTTGAAGGAAATACAATAAATTGCATTTTATCACAACCGCCGCACATAATATAATTTATACGCTCGAACAGTTTTTATTATTTTTACATAATAAATAAATGGCGGTTTACATTATTCGTCTGAATTAACAACGTGACATTTTTTATTTTTTAATGTTTTTATTTATGAAATTAACAAACAATTGTTTACGAGTGCATATAGAGACATCAATCAATAAAAATTCGATATCTTATTCAATACGGATTAAAATATGATAAGGACGATCAAATAACGCTTACTAAGCTTTTGAAATAAAAAACCAAATATGTATTCCATGATTGAATTTGGCTTAGTTTTCATAAATATTACTGTCGGGTGTTATTTGATATCAAACATCTTTTACAATTTAATAAAGCAAATTCCTTATTAGTATTCCGAATATTTTATACCGAATTAAGATTACAAATTGCGTACCTTTATAGTTTACATTTCAAAAGACTTAATAGAAGAGAATATTTAAAGTATTTAAATAAGTTAGTAATCTAGTAGGATTGATAATTTTTGGCTAATAAAATAATCTGTAAATATTTTAAGAGTACTTTGTAGTTCTGTATCTGGAATTTAGACTCAGTTTACAAAAAAAAACATAAATCCGGAAATTCTCTTTTTCAACTAATACACAAAAATATTCACCACCTGCCCTTTTCCCTAAAGACGTCGGTTAAGCCGTAATGCACAGTAAACTCATATTTCGTCTGTTAATTTATTAGTCCCAAGTGACAGGGGACGAGCCTAAAACCAACTAATTAAAAATAAATATAGTTCATGTTATCTATAAATTATGGAACCATATTATCTTGCCTACAGTGAGTAATCTATCATAAATAGCTTTCATCATCTCTTTACACCAATAATGCTATTATATGTGATCTTTACGCAAGCCCCAGGGAGCAAACGTCAGGCGATAGAATGGGCCGTATGGGTTCACATTTCTCGTTCTACATTAAAGGTCAAATGCGAGAAACAAATTCCCGAATAGACAAAAAGAAAGTCACTGGGAAAACTTTCAGACATGAGATTCGAACACTTGACGGCTGAAAATTGAGTTAATTTTGTCGATGGAAAGTTTCAGCCACTCAGAAAAAACCTTTGAACGGTTTGTTTGTAACATTGTAATCAATTAAGTCTAAGTATATCACTTTATGATAGTCTAAAAATAAGATATAGTATATGGTTCGCGTTCAGTTATTTGTATATTTGCTAATATGTTCATCTATTTCTACTAAAATGTTCATCAAAGGACACTTTCACAATTAAGTATTCTATTTAAGTAATTTAACGTTGAATACTAACGACTTATCTGTGCCGGGAATAGGTACTGTAAAAGTTTCATTAAAATCAAGTAGTTTATTTCAGGTTAAAAACTTAGACCTAATTTTAGTTTTCATGGAATTTATTACGCATTGTATAATCCAATAAGCCTATTTGTTCCGGCCGGAATTTAACCTGTTAGACAGAATTAGTTTAAAAAGGGGCAATATTTAAAGCCATTAAGTAATGAATTCCTGAATAAGAATAAATATCGGTACTATTATAACTTATTATCGGTTGACTTCCAATAGATATCCGTTGTATTTTTTATTCTTGCGAGTGTAAATTAGTTTATTTTATATTTTTAAACATACAATAGAGCTGCAAAACCGTACCCTGGAAGTGATAACAAATATTACCTACTTCGGTGGTTATAGTATTGTCTGTTAATGTCAAATGCGACAAATGAGGGTGAAGTGTCAATTGACACAAGCACCCATGTCGCCGACAGTATTGGTATCATAAAAGAGTTAACTCACCCGTGACTATCGCTAATAAATTGGTTCATACCATAATTGAATGACTTTGCACGCCTACCAATATCCGGTTACAAGGCTGCTCTTAAACAAACCGAAAAGGATAATTGATTCGCAACTTAGGTATTAAGTCGGATTTTCTTCTATTTATCCAACTAGAAAATGAATAAGTAAGCTATCAAATATCAAAGTAATGAAGATTATATCTTCATTTCGAAGTTTAAGATAAACTATTGTTTTTTGATAATTTCAGTATCATTCCAGTAAAAAAATCCATTAAATTGCAGGTCGAGTATTTACAAAGTCATAGTTATTAAAATAATCTATTTGGTAACAAATTGTAATGTACTTAGTCCTTTAAAAATACATGTTTAACGGATCTGTTCTCAATTTTATTGATTAAAGCTGAAGTTCGTGAGAAGCAAGACAATTTGGGTAGCGGCCAAAATAATAGATTTTCGTATATATCATTGGAATCTTTCTGGTCAACAAGGGAGTTACATTTAACACTTAAGGACTCGCTAATGGGTCTAACGGACCCAGTTGTTTAATTTCTTTGTAATAACTTTTAAGATTTGACGTTTGCAATTTTGCCGTTCTTAGTACCTTTCAACAACAGTGTAGCGCGGCAAATGCCGGTCGTATTCTTCAGTTAGCGCGCTGCGTGTGAGTGCTACAAACGTATAAGGTGCGTATGGGTCCTCTGGACCCGGTAGCGACTAAATACGTAAGCGTTCTTTTTTTCATCATAGTATTATTTTTTGTCTTGTTTTTTGTTTATTTCATAGCAAAATGGCTTCTAATAGGCCGTTGAGACTTGACGAAATATAAGACTATTGTAATGAAGCTATTCTTCTATGTACTGGTGAAAAAAAGAAACCGAAAATAATAACTGACTATAATGAAATGTAGAGTCGATATAGTTGACCAGATGATTGGTACGTATTCTGTGTCAAGACGAACTCAAAGATGGCCCCTGTGTATATTTTTCGAATTATTGAATATTGGTGGACTAAACACTTATATTATTCAGAAGGCTAATGTATCTTCAGATAACTTCGCTCTAAGAGATTTCATCAAAACCTAGGAAATTTCTCTGATTCAACCGCACCTTTATGTCAGAATTTCTATCATAAACATTCCACAGCATATCAAAAACCGTATCCGAAATATAATTCGAGAAGTCGACCCAACTGCGGCATCCAACTCATCCTTGCCAATTGCTGGGCGAAAAGTACGTTGCGGTCTTTGTAAATGAAAAAAAAAACCAACATTTTTGGTATAAAATGCAATATAGCCATTTGTAGAGAATATGTGAAACACATGTGTTCCAATTGTTTTAGTAAATGAGAAGAAAAAAAAGACTGTTGATTTTGAATGATTATTTTATCCCAAAAAAAGCTATTTGATTTTGTTGATTTTCAATTATATTTTTATTGTTTTCTTTTAGTATTGATCTCTTATTGTTAATTGTTCTTAGTAGGTATAACATAGTAGTATAAGAAAATATAGAAAGGTATTGATAAAACCACTAATTAGAGAAGTTTTCAGAATTATACTTATATCTTGTCATAAAAACATGCCAAATAACCGTAAATTTTTGTAAAAACTTGTTGAATAAGAAAACTAAATAAATATTACTGTTTGATTCATTATTTTCTTTGTTAATTAACATATTATCCCTAGTAATAAAATATTTTTCACTTTTATTTAGTATTTTTGGAAAAAAATTTGAATATTGTACTGGGTCCAGCGTACCCGGTAGCGAGTATTGGTGTTACAAAATAAGGCGCGAGTCCTTAAGTGTTAAGATTTGTTATGCTAAAAGTTCTAACATGATAAATGATAGCTTAGTGTTATATAAAAACCATTTTTAAAAGTAAATGATTAGAATTGGTTTTGTGCATATTGCACAATTAAGACCATGGAGGTCATGTAACTTGTGCTCACCTGGATCTGCAACCACTGGGCCGAGTGGATCAAAACGAACACGATGTTCTACAGCAGCCCGTGCAGCACAAACAAGATCCGAAAAAAATCTATGCCTCCGTAGTGCTAACTCATCCCGGCCCACTGGAGTAGCTGGCGGATCTCGAGGCCCTTCATTTTCACCAGTTTTGGTCACACTCTCCTCAAATACTTCGTCATCTTCTGTATCTGATTCTTGTTTGCTACTAGGTCGATGTTCTGACCCGCCGTTGCTGCTGTTGGTTGTAGATTTTAAAATACCAGTTGACTTGCGTCGACCTCCAGGACGCACGTCCACATTTGTCCGCGCGAGTTCTTGTTCAAGACGAGCCAATTCTTCCAAGGTAGCAGAGTCACGCCGGCAATCAACAGAAAATCGTTTAAAATCCAAGCGAGTCCTTTTATAGTCAACCGAATATCTCTTTCTTGTCAACTCTTTTTTTGGAAGCACAAGATCTAAAGTATCCACTTCCCCGGCTTCACTGACAGAATCATTATGTACCTCGTCATCGTCATTTTCTACGTCCGTATCCTCGTGAACAGTGGCCATGTCAGAAGATTTTTGCTCTTTACCCTCTCCTAAATTTATTTTTTCTTGTTCAGACTCTTTGTTTGTTTGTGGTAATTCTTTCTTTTCCGGAGTATTGTTATCCTCAATATCGGGCAACTTTTTTTTTGTATTTTCCGAGTCAGGTTCAGAATTTGAATCCATTTTTTCTGATTTAGATGTACTTTTACTCATTTTTTTACTCGGTCGAGCACAACAACTTTTGAACATAATTATTACGTAGAGTTATAAAGTATAAATATCTCATTTGCAAACATAAAGTGATAAACTATGAACAATGTAACAAACGTTTAAATATCTTCTTCAAAATGCCATTTTATACAGCAACAAAGTTTGTCAACAAATCGCAATTGTAGTATTAAGTCAAGGTTTTCAGTTAAAAGAAGTCGCAGGCCATACTAGTAGTACGGCAGGGTGGCGTACGTAGGGTCGGCGGCCAGCCGAGCGCGCGGCGGCGGGCGACTGACGGCACTGACGCAGGGCGGCAGGGCGGATGCGCCGCCCGCCCGGCGCATCCTGCCACCCGCGCCCGGCGACACCACGCAGCTCTTGAGATTTAGAGACCCAAAACCGAAGCCTATTCTCTCAGTTTTGACTTAATGAGTCCCAGATACTTTGATTTGAAAAGTTATATTCCTGTTTTATATAGTTTATCGTGATTACTTGTTTCTTTTCTTTTTAAAGTTACATATACGTAAAAGTACCTACAAATGGTTACGAAACTTTTATACCGGTAATTCATTCAGGTAAGAACTGAGCCATTAGTCTTAATTTCATAAATCTTTGTTTGTGTACAAACAATACAAATTGTAGTTAATTACTTAATATTAGAAGCGATTGTACCTATTTAACATAGGTAGCAACAATTTTTTATAGAACCTTTAACATCTCGACAACTGAAATACTAAAAACATTAATTTATTTTCAGCGTTGCGGAGATCTCAGCGTAGTCCTAGAGACGTGGCAGTAATGGCCTTGGGCACAACACTACATTTTTACTGACAATACGCTCCTGGCTGGCTGAAGTTAATGACTCTCGGTTGGTTGCCTGTAGCCGACTTCCAGCGGAACGCGCCTGCGTCACATAGCACAAAACACCTATTAAATTTTTTTCAAAGATAAAACTAAGTAGTGCACGCTACAAAATTATTAATTCTGCCTCTATTTACACTACTTTGCTGGTTTCAGATACGATAAGGTGTAAATAAATATTTGTAACGTTTTGTGATCAGGTCATAAATAACTTTTCCTGAGACCTCTAGAACTGTATATTTTGAACTAAGTAAGTACAATTTTTCACTTAGAAGAATTAATTTTAGTAATTATAAATGCGAAAGTTTGCGAGTTTAGGATAGATATGCAGGGTCTAGTATAACATATAGGACACTTTTTATCCCACGGGACTACGGGCTAACCCGCTGACAGAAGCTAGATAATTAATAACTGATTAATGAAATGGAGTCTACTAAAATTGACCATCTAAGATTTACATTCAATTTAAATTAAGAAGAAGCAGCGATGATACGCAAATAATTTAGGAGCTCTACATTAGAAACAGACCGTCATAATTATGCCGTAAAGTTGCTAACTAAATTTCAGGTAGCCTTGTGTTCAGAAATATCTCGCAGTGGGAAGCTTCAAACATAACTCAACAACAATACAATAGCAATTACTTCCGAACTTTGTTTATGATTGTAGCAGTTTAGTGTCGACCATTCGAGAAACATTGCATACGTAACATAATTTATAGATGGGTACTTATGTTGGTTTTACAAAACTTACAATACCCATCACATCAACCATCTGGACCACCTGTACTATCCTTAAAAAAGAAAAGCATAGGTACACATACATCTTTTACATCGTTGCAACCTAGCATTTCTATGGTGTGGTTGTAAATGTTATAATGTCTAGAGATTGTTCATGAAGTAGTCGGAAAACCAGGGTTTCAGTGACAGGAGAAATTTTCTTTTAATAACGCGTGCGAAGCCGCAGCTGCAAAACTAACCTAAAGAATTCAATTTTTAAATCCTCGTGATAGGATTTTGCTTTCTATTACAGACAGCAAAAGCAGCAGCGAATACCGGTATGAACAAAAGCAACGTAAAAGCTGTTGAAATATTCTCTTGAAATGTTCCATATTTCATAGGCATTCAAAAAGCGAATACGTTAGGGCACCCTCGGGAAAAGTAATAACGAACCCTGACCGCCGATATAAGAAGGGCATTATGTAAATAGGTACGCTAAAATATTGTAATGAAAATGTATTTCAATGGCACGCCAATAGTGAAGAAATTGATACTTATAACCAAGTAAATGGTTTAATAATAAAAATATAAAGATCCTACACCAGTTTTGTCCAGAAAGGGTGCGGATAAAATTCTCACTTTTCATACTAATTAGGCGCAATTTCAACTTATTCCGAGTTCGTAAAAAATTGCGTGGGCCTAGAAAACCCAGGACCTACCAGGAAAATAATTATAACTATGTACTTAATAGTTTCAAATTAAGCCTGGTGTATGCAGTCTTTACCGTAAGGGCACTAGGGGCCCGTGCCCAAGGCCCCCATTCTCAGGGGGCCCTGAAGAACCGATAATTTATACGACTCACACCTACAAAGATTTTCTCTCTTTCTACACGTTGCGCTTGCGCAGCTACCGGCTGCCCCGCAATGTGTAGCGGGATCGATTCTCGTACAGAGCAAATCTTTGTGTGATCGATCCACAAACTGTATGTGTTTCGAGTCTGGGTGTCATGTGTATGTGAACTTGTATATTTCAACAGATTTCTGTTCAAGATATTATGAATGCATAAATAAATATTTTTTCAGAGTAAGTAAAGATATGTTTATTTAACTATGGTGATTTAAGAAATGGACAATCAAATAAATGGTATTGTTTTAAGAAATGGACAATCAAATAAATGTTATTTTTTGAGGTAATAGATTGAGATGTATTGTTAACCGATTGACCACCTGGCCAAGTATTCTGGCCTCCAAACTACTTCCAAGCCTCAGATACGGGATAAAGACATTTCAAATATCAATCTTAGGGCCTGTTTCACAATGTACGGATATAGGTGCTAAGTACCAGTTTGAATGAAAAACATAATTTTAAGAACTATTTGTCACATAACTTTATCAAGTACCTACCTACTTATATGCAGGTGGTGAAACATGCACTTAAGCCGTTTAAATGTTTATTCTCAAAATCTAATTTCAAAACTACCAATGTTTTGCTTAACTCTGTGGGACCATTTCTATGCCCACTGATGTGAAATGACTAATACTGACATGAGAGTTAATCAATTTAAATACTCAAGACAACCCCAGGGATTTAATATAACCATTAAGGCATTTAGTATTATTTAATCCTTTAGTTTCAAAACTTAAATATGGGTGTAAACCCACAATAAACGGATAAATAGTGAATACATATAAGTACACTATGTTAATTTAAATGTCTCTTACTTCTTCATAATAGGTATGTAAGAAGTATGTAGTACTTATATTATTATATAAAGCTGAAGAGTTTGTTTATTTGAACCCGCTAATCTCAGGAACTACTGGTCTGATTTGAAAAATTATTTTGTGTTGAATAGTCAATTTATCAAGGAAGGCTAGACTATAGCTAGACTATAAAACATAACACAAGATCAATAGGAGCCAAGCAGAACAGGTGAATTCGCGCGGAAGTAGCTAGTACTCAATAAACATCAAATGAGGTTCCTTAGCTACTGAAGTTTTGTGTACTACTACTAGTACTGCATAAACATGCATCAATGTAGGAAGTAATGAGTACCATGTAAAATGTACTTATTTAAATATACTTATACTCAACTTATATAAGTATGTATTAGCAAAGTTTAGTATTATCGCGGGTACTATGTTTGCATTAGATTATCAGTAAATATTATGAATGGCAAATATAAGGCTATAATCCGACTATAAACACTTGTAGAAAGAGGACTGTTTTAAAAGCTACTTCATAATTGCTTTGTTTGTTTATAAGATATCTTATGGCAAATCACAAGAATCAATCAACCACAGAATAAATATAGTAAACCCAAGAGTCTCATGGTATAGAAATAAATACTGTGCTGTAATGTTCTTCCATTTGATTTAGCTATGTACTAATGAGAATACTAAGAAGTATTGAAGTTTGAATATACTATCTTTACTAGTCTAGAGGGCAATAGGTACTGATGGCTGCTGTCTTTCCACTTGAATTACTAAACTCTAAATATAGTTATTGCCGTAAGTAGGTGTATCCTGTGACAAGTACAGTTAGAATAATAAATTATGCAGCTAAAATCTGATTGAAAATAAAGATAACTGTCCTCTCAAATAATTTGAGCATCCACTTTTCTGCTTTAAAATTCCATACAAATGTAATGATTACTAAAAATCAAAGATAAAATTAGCGTTAGAGTAATTTAATAATGACTCGGCGAAGCTTATCTACAGTAGGCGTGTAACAAATAACGTAAGATATACACGAAGTAACAAATAGATAAAGGTATTTATTTACTCACAAGCGTTATCTCGTTTCGCTGACTGATTGCTGATATGACTGCTCGAATATTTATTAATTCACTAATTGTTTACGTATAAAATAATATAAAATTCAGTCTTTTTAGGTTATTTGTCAGATTAATGGCTACAACAAAATCGGCATATACCACAGTTACACGAACGAAACTTTTGCGCATACCACAGATTATTAAAGTTAATCTGAATTCTGAATCTGAACTGTTTGCTTCAAAGTTCTTGTTTTTAGTGAAACTATTTACTGATATACCAGAAAAAATATTTGAAATCCATATTGGTTTGTCAGAATATATTTTTGATAACTTATAAATTATTGAACATGTAGTACCCTAGGCCATTTTTTTAAGGGGGGAATATCATCGAATGACTGCTCCCGCCTGAGTGAGGCGGGATGGAGTGTCAGACTCTTACTGACTAAAAACCACCCCGTTCCTTCTCCTGCACGTCGAGCCGGAGCCCCGGGAACCCGTTAGGTTCTCCGCGACTCCGAATCGGCATTAGCCCTGTTGGGCCCCATCCATGGTGGTCTGATGGCTCTTAGAGGCGCGCGCGGAACGCGACGCGCCGTACGCTCGGGTTTGTTTCTGGTCGGACGGGGAGCCACCCATGCTCGCCGTCCGCAGGCCTGCGCTTACAGTGGCCGGAGATCGTCCCGCAATCCCCGACGCCAGGTGTGTCCTTCGCGATGGCTGGGTTACGAGGAGGCAGCGCTTCGCTGCCTCACGCGTCCCGCCTCCTTCTAAGCTAGTATAACTGCTTCGCAAAATGAGGAGACGGCATCCCAGTCCCCCTCGCTTCGCATCATGACCTGCGCTAGGCCCGGACGCAAGAGGTCGCCATCGCCGATCACTTCCCTGAGGGCACGGCGGTGCTCAGCCCACGCAGGGCATTCCCCCACTGTGTGTTCCACGTGTCCTCAGGACCCTAGGCCCTAGCCTATTTTCTAATAGGGAACTTGACAAGTTAGGTTAGGTACCTTTACAGAATTACAGGTAGCAAGTATAATAAACTTAATAGTTACGTACTGAAAGTTAGCCATTATAGGCATATGAGTTTTCCATGGAACCTACCACAAAAGGAACCTACCTAAGTACCTAAGCTATGTAAGTTCATAAAATGTCTTGATAAAAAAAAAAAAACATACGGGTCGAATTGAGAACCTCCTCCTTTTTTTGAAGTCGGTTGAAAAACATCGAAGTTTTCATAAGTTGGTATGAGATACGTTTAGGTACAGTTAGGTACCGATACGTCTCTATCTAATTATGATAAGAATTTATCACTAGTCATCGAAGCGATTATTTATAATTATTATAATTAGCATTTTATAGAGTAATTCAATATTAAACTCCTTATTTTTGATGTGGTAGACTAAGGCCACAACATAGATGGTTAAAGCCAAGACTATATAGAGATTACACATAATTATAATAATTATGTGTTATACACATTTGATTACACATAATTATAATAAATAAGTGTAATGAATGACTAGCCAAACATCTAAGTCAATTCTAATTTCCACAATAACGTTAAAATTTTCGATTAGTCGGACTTGCGCTTTCACACTGGCGTTTATCTAACGGAGGCGTAACGTAGGAGATCCTAACGGGTAACCGGGGCTCCGGCTCGACGTGCAGGAGAAGGAACGGGGTGGTTTTTAGTCAGTAAGAGTCTGACACTCCCTTCCGCCTCACCCAGGCGGGAGCAGTCATTCGATGATTTTCCCCCCTTAAAAAAAAGGCGTTCAATAAAAGTATGTGCTGCGCAGACATTGCGTGCGAAGGCGCTCTCAACAGGTGACTTAAGGTACTTACGCCATAGCAAGAAGTAAAACTTTAGGTAGGTACGTTAAGTGTGGCGGAGTGAAAAGTAAAAATATACTTTTCGAATATCCGTAAAAACGAAAGAGACTGTCGTCTCGGATCCGGTGGCTCGTATCACACTTGGGTGCAATACGGATATCTAACACATTCTCCCGCAACCCTGCACTGTGGCGACTCGCCCTTCTACGCCCGGAGCATCTACTACAAGGGCTTTATACGAATGTACTCTGTGGGGAAGATGTGATCTCTGCAGTCTTCTTCACCGACATGCTGCACGACTTTACATTGTCTGCCATTTTCTGAACGATGCCATTGGCATTTCCAAATTCTGAACGAGGTCAAGATCGCACGATAAAGTCTAAAGTAAAAGTACGTATATCTTATGATAGGCGTAGAAATGATCCAAGGTTTTGAATGAATAAAACAAATCATTACAAAAGTAAGATATTTATTAACTTTCTGTTTCACCCATTTTATTTCAACTAATGTAGGTAAAAGCAAAATTCTAAAATATACATTATAAACGAATAAAAAACGTGTTTATTTATATAGCTATATTCAAAGGCACAATTAACACTGAACCAGCCAGTGTTCGTGCTAACCTACATACAATGATTTCAAGGGACTGCGTTTCCGTAACCGTAATAATGTACTTAATTTTTTTGATACTTCATACTCGAAATTAGCACACGTAAAATTCGTAAAAAACATAATAAAATTGTGTTCTTACAGCTAAATATAAGAGCACTCTTACCCTTAAAATACGGAATTATGCGATACTATAATTTTATCTAAGCTTAACTTTTTCTAAATGTCCTCTAAACAGCGGACGGAGTGCACGAAAACTGCAACATTAATCATCAAGTTGGTATTTCCAAGACCCATTATTTTAAGATTATTCGTTTTCAAGTTTTTCTGAAATGGAACAACCAAAATCGGCAATTGCCTTATAAAACAATTAGGGTACTAGTTTGTGGTATGATAAGTAGTCAAAGATTGAATTGTCGATATAAAATCATGTTCAATACTCAGTGATTTCGATCTTATTACGTTAGGTTGTTCAGAGTGTATATTTATAGTAAAATGTCTATGTTTATTAAAATATAAATACGTTATTACCTACATATTATTTTATATTTAACGGTTTACTCACATAACTGTTTGACAAGGGAACGAGATAGTTGCGCAACGATGCTCGCCGCGTTGTGTTGTGCAAGGCAATGCTGCTCATGAATATAAGCCCATAGCATGGCTTGAAATTAATCGAGTGCCTTCGTCAAATAGTTACAGGTGTAAACGTACCGTTAAACATACAATTAATTTAGAATGTAAACACTAAAATTCATACTTATTATTAGCTTCAAACCAAGAATACGCTATAAAATAGAGGGCGATCTTTAGACCACGCCATTTATTTGGATTTTTATTTTTCATAATAAATATGTGTTCAATGAATAAAATTATATCGGTCAACAAATACCATGGAGTTTAGTAAAAAAATTGAAAAAACTTTGAATGAATATTATTAAGATTCCATGATTTAGTTTAAGAACACGTATAAATCTGGTATTCTACGACATTCCAGTGAAGTTAGTCAGGTTTATATTGCACTTAACATAAAATATTATTTATGGTAATATAGATACTCTGTGTACATTTACAAATGCTAGCTAGAACACATTGACACTAAAGCCTAAATCGACAATATTGAATTGTCGACTTTCAGTTATTTAAAATTAAGTTTATATTTGAAGTTGAAAACTTTGTAAAACTACATAAAGTTACATTAAAGGCAATCTAATTCCTATAACAGCATCATAAACATATATATCATATATTATACTGCTGCCGTTTTGCTAACATTGTAGGTATAGGTATAACTTGTGTCTTGACTGTTTATATAAAAAATATTTTAGAAAGAGCCATGATATTCATTGTTACAAAGGTGTTTGCTTTTTAATGAAAAGTTGAAAACATTCTAATAATCGTATTATCACAATAAATTGCTGTTACCAATAACGATCAAATCAATAACCTAATATCACGTTTCTTCAATCTATCTAAAAGGTGAACTAAATGCACTATGTTTTGTTTGTAATAAATACATAATTTGTACAAAACGTTTCTATATCTCTCGTCAAAACTTAACTAAATCTATAAAAGTTACCGCATACAGTGTCGATATTATATTCAAATACAATATGCACTGTGAATGTAATGAAGATAACTATGTACTACTTGCATTAAACAATGGAAATCGTATGTTGTACAAATGGCAAGGAGCTACAACACAACATTACATGTATTAATAAGTCTCTACCGTATTCAAATGGCAACATTTGCTTTGGTTTTAGCTTTTTATCCAAAGTTAAGGAATGCAACAATATTTGAAACAATAATTCCAAAACAATTTATAATTTTCTTTAAATATTTCAATGAGTTAAATTTATATTGATCTATTTGACTAGTATAGGGACAAACACGGAATTAGAAAAGGTTGCACTAATTTAGTTTCCTTATTATCTTACGGAAACATATAAACAATCTGTTTATTTTTTAATCATACCTAGGTGAAGAAATAAAGCACAAGCTTTTGCGCAATTATGTTACCTACAGCTACATTTAGATTTTTACTAAGCTGCATTTGTTTCTCGGCTTAAGCTTAGATACGCAAGCCCAAATGTTATCATTTTAGATGAAACGTGTAGAAATTGGTTGTAAAATATTATAAAATATATTAATACACAATTTTCTATGTACTGTTACATAACAGTCAATATTTTGATCCCAACCGACTGATAAACAAATAATTAAATCTTGTTTTAGTGGGTTTTATAAGTACCACACGTATTTCTGTAAAAATCTTAACATTTATTTATATTGCACGGGAATACGTTACGGTGCAAAACACTAATACTTCATATTTTTGTGACTTAAGTTTCCATAAATCTCTAATCACTTATAGAACAAACATGCAAGATTTTCTTTTTGCGATTTGTGTTCCTATTTACTACGTAATATGATAATATTTGAAATAAATACAATATTAATATTATAAGTTGCATTTCATATAAATAATCCTATTGCTACGTGAAGTTTTTCGTTGTTTTCTTTTTTAGAGAAGGTTTACCAAGCTCTTGATTTTCTTCTTGTATTGTAGTACATGTGACGTATACTAACTTTCATTTTATTCCTTTCATGACAGTTCTCCGATGGGTGCATTCTGCAGCCACAGGTCATGGATGAAATTGTACAAGTCATCACTGACTGCCACCTGAAAACATAACGGGCTGTTGTTTGAATCTATAATTGGTAAAAAAAACTAAGACGAGAATGTGCACTTATTTCTTTTTTATCCTTAAAATGTAGTTACTCTGGCTTGGAGAAGCCTTAGAAACCTGTGAAGTAAATAAATAGATTGTTTACCATCACCTATATAATACAGAAATATTATGAGGTAAAACAATTTTGCTGAGTTCCTGTTTCCTGGAGTATTTTTCATTTGTTATTGAATATGATTAAATATAGTTATTGACACATATTCTGGTCGTCGTGTCGTTCTCATTCATTAATTATAAACTGTATCAAAATTGTGAGATAAATAATATAGTATGCAATTATGATAAGTGCAATCTGTCTGTATACAAATAATAAACATCTGTAATGTAAGTAGGTAGCCTTACAATATTTAATTATATGCAGATAAGATAATACACTACTTAAATGCACATTGCACTGTTGTATTCTTAGTAGGTAAGGTAATAACAAATTAGCCTGTAAACAATTAACAGGATAAAAGGTTCTTCGATTTTATTATTTAGCTCAGACTATTCATTAGTAATTTATCATCAGAATGTTAATAAACTCCATTTTTGTTAATTAATATGTACTACGCAGTAGACACATATACATAGTAGATTATGACTATTTATATATATATAGGTATATTATAGTTTTTCTGACGAACATTTTTAATGTAAACAAAGATATCAATTCTTTGTAGTGACTTGCATGTGACAATCTCAGCATGTATTTTATTTAGTTACGTAATTTATATTTTTGTTTCGTGAACGGAAATCTCCGCAAGGTTATTAAGATCTTTACTTCCTTTTCTGTTTTACATTTATGCATATGTTTGACTCATACATCTGGCTAGTACAATGCAGAACTATGTGGCAAGCGTATCAATTGCTATAGGCATAAAGGGACCCAGAAAAATCAAAGCACCTTCGATACAGAGTACTAATTTAATTTTAACTTCAGTAAAATTGAGGGCTTTAAATAAAATTAGCTAGGCTCTGCCGTTCCGCCACGGATCTAGTAATAACGGTGATGACATTCACTATTATTAGCGAAATTCACAAACCTTGTAAGGCGTAGGATTTAAGTTTCTCTTGATATCCTGTCGCAAAGTCCTCAGTGAGGATTGGACTCGCTGGCGGACTTCGTGCAATGGTTTCGGCATCGTGTGGATAATACCATCCTTCCAGTACACCTGTAATAGTAATGAAGTTTGATTTAATATGTGCGGCGCTCTTACACATAGTATAAAATATATTAATTTTTGGTTTGGGTTCAGTATCTAAGTGTTGCAGAGTTTTTTGATTTCGAAATTTTCAATAGATTTCTTTTGTGTAATTTAATAGTGCAATCAGTTACCATTATGGACCATTAACTATTAACCTCATTAAATAATAATTAGACCCTGGTGTGATCGTCAACGTATTTATTCATTTGTAGATGATGACATGATGACTGTACAGTTTGACACAATCATTAGTATACATTCGCCTTTCCATACTTAAGACTCACGTCTCACATGAATACAATGTTTTATTTGCAAACATACTTAGAATAAGAACTTGCTAACTTTAACATAATACACTGAGTCATTAAATAAAATACGAGCATTCTCGGATAAATACACAGAGTGCAGATGTAATATAAATAACGAAGAAGTCGCAATTAAAAACATGCACTTACCTTATATAAATGTTCTACTTTGCTGGGAATCACGTAGGCTCTCTTGGACTCCTGGAAAGGATGCCTACAAAGGACTTTCTGGCCGACTTCAGGCGCCGGCTCCGAGGACCGCTGCAGCAAGTCAATCAGAGCATGCCCGTCAGCACCGAATAGCCTGTACGCCTGAAATAATCGTGACAACATAATCAGTTCCATCTGTACGTTATATAATCTCATTACTCCGCACTTTTACATTACAATAAAACGATAAGAAATTATAAGTTTTATAGTAAATAAAAAATACGTGAGTACTAAATAGAATAACGCTTAAGCCTAATTATGTATATTTTATTGTGGTTAATAATGTCGAATGTAACAGGATAATGCTAAAGAGTTATTTAGTACTTTTACACCCAAAGATATGTTCATTAGTTAAAAACATGAACAACAAATGCCTACTATATTTCTGATAAATTGACAATAATAAAAATGAAATATTTTTTATAGTCAACATATTTGGTTAAACGATGTTAATAAAAATAATGATAAACTACACAAGAATGAAAGAACCTAAGTATATTAGGTATATAATATTATGTAAGTAGATCGCTACCATTATCTAGGCTAGGTACCTATCTACCATTTTCATCTGGATATTACAATGTTTGTATAATATAATATAATATATTCTAGGTCGGAGTATTACGAAACAATGCTATCTATATTGCCTTTCAAACACCAATAAACGTTAAGTAAAAGTAGTACCCAGCAGTAAACATTGAGCATTAAATCGATGGTAAATAGTGCAGCCACTTAACAATCGATAAAGCGACAAAGTATTCGTAATTCACAAGACCTTGCGTTCGAAGATACTGTATAATACAAGCTATAGCTATGTATACATATTCATGACAATCGTATATTTTTCTCTTTGATAACACGCATCGGTTCAGGGTCGTACGTTATACGATATTCTGCTTCTTACTGTCATTTACCTACCTAATCTCATAGAGATACGAATCATAGGTTTATCGATTTCCAAATATGTAATACCTACCTACATGTTACTTTGGACTATGTGCAGCGATAACATTCGGTGTCGAGTCCATTACACTGATTTATTGTCACGCCACGAGTTAAAAGTTCAATATAGTCAGTAGTTTATGGCTAACTTCAGTTAATAAACATTAAATTAATCAAGATAACTATTCGTTTTCATAACTCGCACACAAACTCAGTAATGGGCTTGTACTCATTATCGCAGTAATAAACATTGAGCGAGAGTATTCATTCTTTGTAGTGACACAACGATGTCGTCAAATGAAAATGTTCCATTAACTAATGTTCTATGTACTATCAACGTACCTCTTTGTGACCTGGAATCGTAACTTTTCCTACATCTTGACTCAGTTTGATGCGGGGCTGACCGTTTATCTCCGTCAGCTTATAGACACAACCCAACGCTGGTTGGCGCTGACATGTTACTAGAAAAAAAGCAAACATACACTTGAGATAATTTAAATAAATTGTCATTTCCTTGAGCAATGTTTTTCGAGTCATAGCAGTTAGGAGTAAAAAGTATCACCACTTATTACATTGTAACATAATGAATAAATGGCGTATTTCTGGAAATTATAGTCATTGTTGATATTGTGAATAGACTAGGCAATCACACAAGGAAACATTCATAAAAACCAAGTAGGCATTTATGCAGAAAGATTATAAAAACATGGGTAATACCTAGGTGTGTCCCAATCCCGAATGTGTCGATTTTGTGTCCTTGTTCGTTCAAGCTTAGTATTGTTTCTTCATTAATGTCGTTGGAGGCTACAATGGTTAGTTTAGAGAACCAAGGTAGTTTGAAAGCTTCTGCAATGCTCTCGAAGGTCTCGCGTGCTAGTACAGACAAATAAGCCAGATCACCGCTGTCGATACGGATACCACCAGCTCGGTAGCCACAATCGTTTAGCGCTAGCGCCACGGCACAGAAGTTTAGCAGACCACTCCTGTTAAGAAAAATTAGTTCAATACTACTAATTACAAAACTGCATAGCATTAAAAGTACCTGTTTTTATTACTTATGTAACTATTTGTTACAGGGCGTGCTAACATATCTTTGTGGCGGCTAAATATATACTCAGTCTCATCAAGTACCTACATCTTGTTACACTGTATGTAGTTCAACGTCTTGTGGATGTGTCAAAGGTAATGCTGTATGAAGTCATCTGCGATTACGTAGCCATACAATCAACTGCGTGTGACTACTAGGCACAATCTGTTCACTACGCCGTCGAACATACAAGTAAATTAAAAATATAAATAAAATATTCAATAACTTCTTACTATGTTTAGATAAGGTGCATGATGGTAGCTATACATGCAATACCAGCTTGGATACTGTGAACGTGTGCATATCCCTATACAATGCAACTGTGCCCAATGACTAAGACTGCCCCTAAACTTGCATATAGGGCACGACAATACGTCACACTGAAGCAAATATAAAGTTCTTGTAGGACGTGTTCTCATTTATTTACATTCGGTTGTACATGAAGCGCCGTCCACATACGCTTCACTGAAAAAGCCAAATAAAAAACATAAAATTGTATACTACGGCCATGATTGTTAAGTATTCCCAGCGGACAATCCCGGCGTAATGTGTTGTTAGAAGTGTGCTTGCATGTCATTCGTCCCACGGTTACGTGTCTTTCATGCCCCCCTAACAATGAGTTATGTCAAATGAAGTTGGTTAATGAATTGCGGTCACTGGCTTTAGCCAGTACACAGAACAAGTCTAAGTAGTAATGAAAACTTCACAGAACTTAAAGTATAAATGAAAATGCAAAACAATAACAAAAGTTTATCAGACACCAAATGTCAATGAGTTGTCTATTTGCATCTTTACCTCAGTGTGCGTTCGACCGTGCTATATCCATACGGACTATGAATAGTCGGTGATTTGAGTACTCTAGTACCATTGGTTCCACAGTTGCTATTGTAGCCAGAATGCCCATTCATATTATGCTGCCTGTGTCGTGACGGTAAGCCTTGAAAATTATACCTCTTGACATCGTACGTATCCACTAGAGCCAAGAAACCCGACGGGAATGCTAGGGCATACGATATGAGGGCAGCTAGTTCTCCGTCGCTCGCTTCCTCCGGAGATATATCTATGACGGCGGACACTCGCTTGCGCCACTCTATCGACAGCTCGAGTAGGTTGCATGAGTTCTGGGTCTCGGCGTGTCGGATTATGACGGAGTGCAAGTCGTCCAGGGTGCTGAACGACGTCACAAAGGAATGTGCATGGTGCCTCGCACTGGTATATTGAACATTTTTCCAGCCAACACATTACTTGTTCCATCGAATCCACCTAAAAACAGTCAATAATATTGAACCATAAGTCATACGTTTAAGGTCCTACTGTACAGCACTGGTTAAATTTTAGCTAGTCTTCCTGACAGATCATTCGCTGTATCTTCCATATAAAATGTAGTAGCAGTGAAATTAGAGATAATGTTACACGGGTTACACCATATCTACGGCGGGTCTATCCGCACCATGACTAAAAACTCAAATGGTTTTACATTACAGATATACGGATTGGATTTTAGTGAAGGAATGTTCGATATTCTATCATCTTCAATATGTACAAGCGAAGTAGCTAAAAGCAATTTAAAACTTTGGTAGCAGTCAGTACGTGAGTACCAGGCAGGTGAGACATTCAAGGGCAAGGTTCGCGAAACTTGCCTGATTAAACCTATTAACGAAAAGTATATTCGCTATTCGGGATTCTTATGAGTCAATGGCGCGGCAGGGTGTTTTATATTGCACAAGTTTCAATAGTGGCCGCGAGCTTCGTACCAGGTACCGAAGTTCGCTAGCCGGCTGCCTAAGCTGCGCAAACACGCTAATACAATCAATAACACAAAGACAAGTTAATTTGCGCCCCACACATGCTACTAAAATGTTGTATTATAACCGACTTATTATTTGCGAATACAATACATAGTACCTATAAGGGTATTCTTCACAGAAATTACCAATATCCTGTCAACAAGTTTCGTAGAAAAAAAATATAATTTACCAATGTAAGCATATTTTGACGCCGATAACCCTCCATCAGGTCCTTGAGCTCGTCGTAAGCCAAATTCAAGTAAAGACACATTTTTTCCAGCAACCATTCGATACCGTGCAGCATTGGTTGCCATTAAACTGAAATGAAAGCACTAAGTTAGTCATTTCCACTAAGAAAACGTAATATGAAACTGAGTAGACACACCTACATCAGACTCTACGAAGACGACTAACGCTAATGCATCTTTTAAGCAGATAGGACATAAGCTGGTAATGTTACCAGATTTTTTAAAAGATAGGAATACAGGTAGTGGTTTCATTTAATCGATCCGTCCTAGTTTAAAATTTCCCGGTTCCGTTATTCATTATTGAACTTCGGCAACGTCATAGAAATAATTTTAATTTGATTTGTGTATAGTTAATAGATTTTGTCGTTTAGCAACCACGTTACGTGTAAGCGTGAGAGCCTTTAAAACCATGATGTAACGAAAGTAATTTACTAATTATGTACCAATCTAAATGAAACAGAGAAGTGGAAGTACCTAACTACCTATGACTAACACTAAAATGCAATAATCAATGTTGCAATAAAGCACCTTACTATAGTCTATACATTAGTTAAGAGATTTGTAATAAATGGCCCTTTGTTATTTTTAACCCATGTCGGGATAAATTTATTTAGATGGTTTCTTGCTCGTTCTTCTCCATTCGAAACTACACTTTTGAACGAGCGGGCGCCTAGCTTCACTGACAAACAGACAACGGACAATTCAATTTTGACGTAAGTAATTGCCTACATTCTAGATTTTTAAATGACTTCTGGCTTTGAACTACTTACTTGCTCAACAAATAACGGAGTAACTAGGTAGGTCAGTACGTAGGCGGGGAAGTGGTTGATATACTCGCAATTTGTATGAAACAGTATGCAATTACAAGGACCATTCATGCCTGACTCCTAACTGATAAGTGTAACATTGTATCTAATATTGCAGAGAAAATACTCAATATCTGTACATAGAGGATAGCCAAGATAAGCACATCTAATCAATGACGTAATTCTTTTAGGTACCTATGTATATACCTAGGCACTTTTGTGATGAGATATTAATGATATTATGTACAAAGCAGGACCGGTAGGGACCAATTAGGTACAGGAAATTCTGATCTTAACAAAATGTGCAACCAAGACGAAAGACGAAAGCAAGCCTAGGTTATTATCTACTTTGATTCCTGGTTTTTTTGTTAATCGTACTTATTTGTATACGGACTTAGGTAAGTGTATACTTAAGTATAACGGATATTAAGGTCATAAAGACCAGACTTTCCGGTCTTAAGAATATGGGTGATAAGGGAGATCATGCAATTTCTAACAAGCTCATAAAATGTTGCGCGACTTATCAATACAAATAGAATGCAGAAATAAACACAGTTGTACGATAAAAACGAATAAATAAACAATTTACGCTGTTAATCGATATTCGTAATCTAGAATCGGGGTAAGTACCTACCTACACGTTTATAATAATGATGTCCTTACTCCAATATGTCGTTGGTAGCGATACCAAGTCACTTACCTTGCAAAGTTGACGAGAGTTAATAAAGTGGTTTCCAGCAACTGCGCTACAATTAAAGGTCCTTCAACTCTTAATAAGGGCACCCTGCAAGATACACAACGTCTTAAGCAATGCTTATTGTAAACAACTGATGTAATCGCTATTATTAGGTAGATGACAAACTGTAAAACTTCGCGGTATACCAATTACGACTTGAAATTTTCGTTAAGGCGTTTAAATATACACCTTAATCAAATGTCGGAAGTATTTGGTAAGCATTATATAAATAAAAGACCTTCATAACTTTTAAATTTAAATGTTGTCTGAGAATATTTTAGGATTGCATAGATGGGAGGAGGGGGATGTCTGCTTGTTGGCAATAATTGTTAGAAACAACAATATAAAACAAATTTTTAACACCCAAAGGGATAGACAGAGATTCAACGTAACATCTACTTTTCACCAGTTGTACGATAATAAAAATTCCATATAGCAGAGGCAGATTTTCTAGCTATTCATCAGGCTCTATTACAAATATTACTTAATCAAAAAAATCTAATAATACTCGAGTTGGGAGTCGGGAGAAAAAAGAGCCGTTGTTCAGCCCTCGCAATTGCGACCACTCGACCAACGAGTGACCAACATGAGTGAGAAAAGTCCCCAAAGTCCTAATTCTCCAATCATCTCATTTTAAAAGAGACAATGGGACGAAATTCTAGTCCAGAATACAAATCAGTACAAAAACATACACTATTTATTTAGATAAGTATACCAATAAGAAATTATTAGTATTTTAAAACTTGTTATAGAGGTCTGAAGATATTCAAGATTTTGTCATTCTAAGATTAGGTTAATATAAAAAATAAAGCACTCACATTAAGATAAGGAAATACAATATTTATATCTAATGTGTATGACAAATGGTAATAATGTAAGATAATCTTGTAATTTTTTTTTAAGGGGAGAAATCATCGAATACTGCTCCCGCCTCGGTGAGCCGGGAGGGAGTGTCAGACTCCTGCTGACTAAAAACCACCCCGCTGCACGTCGAGCCGGAGCCTCGGTTACCCGTTAGGTTCTCCGTGACGATATTGTAATGATACAAGGAATATAACTAAATGTATTGTATTGTTGCTTAAAAATAAAGAGTAGCATAGAATATAATTTAAAATTTCAATAATCTTAAACTAATAAATGTTTTAGAGTATGTTTCAAAAGTACCGAATTGTGATTTAATTGAGATAAATGCTTTGAATAATGCATTTGCATAGCCAAACTAATGCAACAACCATTTTCCAGTAAGTGGGTTTTTAAATGGATAATTAATACCTTGGGAAAACCACAGAACCTTCTTCAATAGCGCTCACTCTTATATCCTTGCAAGTTAAGTCCTTTAAATAGGCAAAGAATTCAGGCTCAATATTGTCTGGTAATGTCTGCTGCAAATATTGAATATCTGAAAAGAAAAATATATCACTAAAATAGCCCTAAAATAATGATGAGGAAATAAATAAAAATGTAATAAAGGTACATACCGCTATCAGAATAATGAAAGTTTTCTAAAAACTTCAAACATTCCTCAAGTCCTGCGAATATTGTGAATTCACCTTGGAAAGGATTTGTGCGGAAAAATAAATCAAATACGGCAACATCATTCACTTTACCGGATTTCCAATAGGCATATGCCATAGTTATTTGATATAGATCTGTGGGAAACAATTCACTAGTATGTCAACAATGCATAATATAAATAGATATGCAAATAAATTATAAATACTATTCATGGTTACTAAATACGTAAATATAAATACCTTACCAAAAAAAAATTCAAATCCCTATAGCCACATTTTAAGCACAAATAAAAATGCTAATATTAGAAAAAAAATTTCAACTTCCAATAGGCATAAGAGATTGTAAAATAGTTTCATTATTCAATTAATAAAATTCATGTTTGCTTACAACTATAAATTAACCAACTTTATGAATTTTATTACCTATATTTTATAAACATAAAGGACCTCAAAAATTTAATAGTGGGTATCATATACATATTTTACAATTGGAAGTAAAAATAATTATCTACACAACACTAATTACTTAAGTTCTAAAGTACAACTGACATTTAAAATTCGCTCCAAAATAAATTGTATTTTACTCACCAGTCAACAAAGGTTGCACAATACCATTTTGTCGTGCCATTTTTCTCTTGATATTTAATTCTTCACTAGACATTTTCGTTGTAAGTGATTAAGTTAACGCAGAAAATGTTAGAAACGTGAGCTGTACAAGGTATCTGGCGAATGACTAAAATATGTAATTTCATCGTGATCAAAAGTAGTCGTAGTTATCAGCGCGCCAAACAAAATTTGACGGATAATCTACGCATGCGCATAAGATTCCTATTGACTGTGGAGTATAAAGGTCATTTTTGAAGGTCGACCTATTACTTTATCCAAAAGAGAATATTTTCGTCATGAGTTAACACAAAACGTAGATGTTCTAATAATTAACTAAATTATTATTTTTCTATTCAATAATTTACGTATTATATCCACTCACACATGTAAACCGGGTAAACATTCAGAATCAGACATTCACACTCACACATTCGTACACCACACTTTTTTAATCTATGACATCATGGACTTTTAGCTTACAGTTTTCGCATACACTTAAAATCTTATGAGTTTAGTAAATGTATTATGTAAATGTATTATTAAAATTAATTTAAATATTTTCTATTTTATAAATCTTTTGAACGCAAAAACTTTTGTCAAATTTTGACTCAATTTTGATGACTGTAAATGAAATTTACTAATATCTGTATAACTGCCTACGAGAGACCAAAATAATATCAAGACAAAATTATTTAGTTTAATCTTTTCTCTTTCCATACAGGAAATTTATTTGATTCATAATTTTATCTTTTGGAAATAAATGAAAACTTCTTCCCGAATGTCCCTAAGCACGGAATATAGAATACAATCCCTAAGTATAACATTGACGCACGCAATAATATTTTGTGTTTCTGATTTTATTATAAATAGGTTTCTGAATGTAATCGTGATCCATTTGATAAAATTTTTACTCAACTTGAAAGCAAAGTGTCGTTCTTAGACAACTTCAAAATTTCACCGCTAGAGGCGCGCGAATAATCTTTGCATCGCCAATAGGAGTTTAGTATAGCAAAATTTAATTTAATTTAATAATTTTTTCATTATTATTATTTTTCTTATGGTGTAAATATTTTAGTTTTAATTATTTATTTCAATAAGAAGTGTAAGATTAAATAACAATAAGGTAATAAGCAAAATTAAATTTATCTTTTTGGGCTAACACTACCTACAACATCTACGTGATAATCCCATTTCCTGTTTCTTATTATTAACCAATGGGGTTTAGGGAAACCGGAAACCACAGATGATAGTTTGACGATTTAAGTGACACTGACAGTGACAACTTTTAAAATCAAAACTAACAACTACCTATTTACTCAAAAATCATGTACCCATTCTATTTTCTACAAATATTGTAATACTGTATCTGTATTTGTTTGAAGGATTTAAAATTAAAACTGCTGACCAGGTAAATTTTGTTTATTTTGTAGATAAAGTAGTCTCCCACTCTATTATTTTTATTAAAATAAAACAAAATTCGTTGTAATAAATATTGAAGTTGGCGTTTATTGCTATTTAAAATGTTAAAAACTATTATTTTTTATTTGAGCAAACTATTTTTGGAGATAAGCCCCAATGGCCGATTCAGTCCAGGGTGCTTGTTGTCGTGGTGTATGAGTAGTCCTCTTCTCGTTACAAACTTTTCTGTGCAGTTCGTACATTTATAAGGTTTTTCTCCTGTGTGTTGATACATGTGGTACTGCAAATAGGTAATTGAAATGAGTAACTTGGAAGAATAGTTTAAATTGTTGGGAACAAATTTTAGGTACATTCCATAGAGTGCACAAGTGAACATTAACAATTAATGCTAAGGGTTTTTAAAATTCACAATGTACTTATTTATTAACTGTTAATTGGCATTACCAATTTAAACTTTAGTATTTCTTCATTTAGTTGTTAATATCTACTGACTTATAAAAGTAATTTAGAAAGATGGTATAAAGCATTCTTCGAACTCAAAATAGGATAGGATTCCAACATTGCAAGGTCAATTTTTTAAGGTATTTTTACCCGACTGAAGAAGGGGTATTGTCTTTCTTCTTGAATAGTATCTGAGTCTCAAATAAACGTTAAGGAATTAGTATACAACAGGTACTTATCTACCTTCCTCCAACTATATGAAATATTTTACACAAGAATCAGACTAAAGGTTAATGCAACCGCTTCTCATGCATGAGGCTGCAAGTTTGAAACATGGCTAGTACCATTGTTTTCTGAGGTTTAAATATATTTCCTAAGATTATTATGACACCATTGACATACAGTGAAGGATTTCAAACTTAGTTTGAATTCACCAACCCGCCTTGAGCAAGTGTGAAATGCTCAAATCTTGTTAGCATGAGAAAAGGCCTTTACTCAGCAGTGAGCACTTATAGGCTGATGTGATATGTGAAATATTTTATGAATTGCAATTTGTAATACTCACATTGAAGTTTTCTTTTTTCATAAAACTATGCTCACATAAGTGACATTTGAATTTTACGACACCATTTACAGTGGTCATATTGTTATGTGTAGGCACATCGGCAGGTTTTGGTTTGGGAGCAATTGGTCTGAGTACCGGGACATCAGCTGTGAGAATAGTTCTTCTTACAGACCTTTCATGTTTTTCTCCAGGATGCATACGATTTCTATGAGAGTAACAATTTCCAGAACTTGCAAAGCACTTGTCACAGAATGGACATTTGTAAGGTTTTGCCCCAGTGTGTTGGTTCACATGGAACTGAAATAATATAGTACAAATAATTACATAAAAATTACCTTTATAAAAACTTGTCAAAATATTAATTCTCATTAGTTTCTTTATGAAGTAACTTATTAATTCTCTTGTTCGACTGGAGATTTGTTTATTTCAATTTAATAACAATTTATGGAATTGTCTTATTTGTTTATCTTACTTTTAAATCCTGGTTTCTCTTGAAAGTCTTTTTACAAATATCACATTTATAGGGTCTTTCCGCACTATGTGTAACACTATGAGTTTTTAGACCGCCCCATGTATTGTAGGATCTGCCACAGATTTTGCATGTGTATGATTTACTTGAAGGTAAATGCACATACATATGAGCAACATATGTTTTTTCTGATCTGAACCTGTGAACATTCAAAATTATAGCTTAAATTATAGAAGTTGACTAGTTTAAAAATCCTGTCTAAAGATACATTTAAAAATAAACTTACATTCTCCCACATAATTGACATACACCATTAGATCTATGCTTTTTCAGATGAGATATTAAATCGTACTTGTAATAAAATCCTTCTGAACATGTATTACAAGTATATTGCTTTTCATCTCTATTTTCGGGAAGGTGAATCCAACTATGGTTTTTTAATGCCAAATCTGTACAAAAGCTACGTTCACATGAAGTACATTTAAATGGTTTCACTTTATCATCATCGTCACTGTTGTGAGATCCTGATGATATAGATTGCAGTTTTTCCTTTGCATTATCTTCAAGTATAGAATGTATGTCGCCTTTCTTTATTAACTTTATTGTTACATTTTCTGTATCCAGACCGTGTAAATAAGTGACATCGTTAACATTGTTATCATACTCTGGTGATAAAGTGACTTCAGAATTTTGAAGCACCATCATGGGATCCACACTCACTTCCATTTCTGTATATTTTTCATTTTCGACGATCTCTGCAGATTCAAACTTTTGCTCTGTTTTGACTAAAGAAATCATACATTTTGTAGGAGCAATCTGGTCTATCATAAAACTTCGTTGAAGAAGAACTTCTTGAGCTTTTCGTGCCGTGTCTATGAAGTCACATACTGATTGTAACTTGGTACAACATTGGATACAAATATTTTTTGGTAACTTGTCGTCTTCATCCACCTGTGGAATTATTTACGAACTTAATTACTTGAATGATAAGAAATTATTTTCTTATTATATTTAATACACACTCTACTTACCTCAATTAATAAGTATCTATTGAGCTTGTTTTGTAAAAGCATTGCATCGGCTTCTTTACTAAATATCATTATTGTAACGTCTTGTTCTTCCGCACACAGGCGACAACATCTTTCAAAGCTGTCTTCTAATCTTTCCGTCATGACTAGATAGTTACGAACATACTTGTGACACTGTTTATATTCTTACGAGTATAATGCATGCACTGTAATGATTTTTTCTGGACGTACCAACCATCCAGTAGCGTACAAATAACGCATGCGCGGTAGCAGATAGCGATACCAATGTTCCGTTTGTATACTTCGTTGCTATTGATATTTTCCTAAAGGTATACTTACTGCGGGTTATAGTACCTACTGCGCAAACTCGGCACTGCTCTAGTCCTATACCTATGTAGAATAAGTTATTTGAAAAGGTTAGATATTAGTATAGCAAATACACAATAGACATGGTATAGATAGTATCGTCATATCTAATAATTAGGCAATATGCTATTACGACTACCTACAACTTTATTAAGTGTACAAAAATTGGAAGACTAATAAGTGCTATGGGTAATTAGAATAGTACATAATTCCAACTTAGCCGATAAATAACACATTGAATTGAACAAACACATTTTCAATATCATCAAGCATGGTAAAGTAAAAAAAGTCGGCAGAGGCCTACGATATTACATCTAGTCGGTAAGGTTCGTAGCTGGGGTGAAGATAGTTTTTGCCAGTTATTTGATAACACAATAATAATTACAATAACAAGAGATGACAACTAGGTACTTGTCTTGACAAAATTAATTGTATTTTATAATGTCAAATGTGATTTTTAAAATAAGAAAGTTTAGGCTTACTAAAATTCTATTATAACGCCATCTAAGGCGACAATACAGAACTAAGGTGCTGGACAGGATACGATCATTCGTACGTTTTGACATCAACTGCAACGTTAGTGATATTTTTAATATGACCGTTTACTTCCTGATCCTTAAAAAATAGATGGCGTTGCTGTTGTAAAATAACCTGGGCAGGAGAGTTTACAAGAAGACTTGTTAGGTATGATTTTTATATAAATAATGTCATAAGTAATGAGTAATTGTCAATGAACTCTGTATTTGCTTTCAAATTATCCGGATAACTTAATTTATTGTGGACGCTACATTCTGAATTTTAAGGCATCTTTTTGGCATTGGGCAGCCTCTCATAAAGATACACTTATTTTTTCTTCAGACCCCATAAAAACGTATGCTTAGAGATTAAAACAACAAAGGCTTATCGTATCGTATACGACAACCTTTTTAGAAAAAAAAATTAACAAGGTTTTAGGAAAGATTTTTAGAAAAACAGATTTCCACCCTGACTGAAAAAAATGAAAAAGTCCTATCCTACTATCCTTATTTATTTTATTGTATCGAAAGTCTTTTAACGATTAAGCGAATTTTAATTTGGAACGGTGTTAATAAGAATTTTAAGTTTACAATATGTATAAATATCCCCTAGGCCTAGTTTCCTATTTTGTTATAATTGATCATTTCTTTATAATGATCGTTTTGAGAATAATATAGACTGACAGGATAACCTGGTATTGTTATTGATATAAAGATATAATCCTTTTTTATTTTGCTAGCGTCCGCTCATATATTTGTTTGTATTTGTTGTGTAGTTTTGAAAATAGGTAATTGATATTTTTTGTATTAAATCAAGGGTATAAATTACGAATCCAATTTCACCTGACACTGTGGTGCCTATTTGGTGGGTGCTTGATTGAGTCGATGAAAAACTATTTTTTGTCTACATGATTGTCCTAGATACCTTATTATTTTACCTTATATTGTCGCTTATCCATCTGTGCATATAGATAAGCAATTCATCTACGTTATTTGTTTCTTTGGAATAAATCTATTGGATCAAATTTGTTTCTAGTATCGTCTACCTATATAAGTTTTGTACTTACTTAGTATCTTATGATACAATCTGAAACATTTGCTTGTTTAGTTTACCTGCACTATATTAATTAGTGTTAAAACGTAAACAAAGATTTAAATAATAATTTTATTGTGATTTCCTGTCACAATCGTTATAGGTGGCTTGTATAAGGTGTATTTTATGGTGAGCCAAGGAGATAGTGGGTGAGCGGGGTGAGGGGCATCATTCTCGAAGCAGAGACCGGTCCGTGCACCAAACATACTATGCGCAGCGCGGGTGGTGCGGCGGGTGCGCGTGGGCAGGGAGACTTTGCGGTGCGGGCGGGGCGCGCGTCAGTCGCGTAGCGAACGCTATATTGTAAGAACGTCGGGTGGCGCCGCGCCAGCCCGTCGCGTGCTAGTGTTGTGTCACAGCGGTGGGCCAGGTCGGTTTCGAGATTTCTTCGTTCCGACGTAAATCATGGCTCTCAACTCGGACGCTGAACAGAAATCGAACCTGGTCCTCCGCGTGGACCAGGATTCTGACTCGGTTCTACAGTCATTGTTCGACACAGTGCTTAAGCCGGACTCGAAACGACCGCTACAGGTGCCTCTCCGAATGCGACAGCTTCCAAAGTCGTTCTTTAACCCGCCGTCAACCGGTTCCAAGTCGCCATCTGTGTCTCACTCGCGAGAAAACTCGGCTGACTCGGCGTTCGGATCGTCGTCCGCGACTGGCGCCTCACCGGTGTCGCACTCTCGAGCACATTCGTCACCCGCAAGCTTGCAACAAACTTATGCCGCTGGACAACAAAACCAACAACCGCCACTCCACCACCAGCACACAAAACAGAGATCCTATGATGTTGGAACACATATCCCAGATGATCTTGGTCCACTCCCACCTGGTTGGGAACAAGCACGGACACCAGAAGGACAGATATATTATCTTAAGTAAGTTTTCTCCTAATATATAATACTTATGAAGGTGATGATACCTATTTAATTTAAAATAACCTTATCAATGAAAAGTTTGATATCGAATAATCTTTTTTCAAGTAAAAACTAGTTATAAAAGTAATGTGAAAAGAAATACAACGGCCAACTACGCGCCAATTTACATAGTATTCTAATATGTACTTACTTGCTACCTTCTAGTGACTCATAATTTTATGGTTCGGTATATTACTTATGTATATTTCAGCTTATCCATAGTTTTACAATAATAATGATGCGTAGGTAATAAGTTAATAGTGAATTGCATAGGTACCTATATACACTTATCAATAGCTACTTCTAAATGTAGGATGCGTTATGTAGATAGCCACTGATTACAAAAGTGGTACAAAATTTTAATTGAAATCTAAAACAGATCAGTAACGTCTGTTGACCATTACCCAAAATATCCATAGGTAATTCATGTGGGTATAGATTTTCATTGCGAAAAGTCAGAGAAGGCTTGGCTATTTGAATTTGTATGGTTTCAGCGCATATGCACGACAATAGGCAGAACATTGTCGCTAGTATCATCTGCCAATACACTGAAGATGTAAGGAAAAACTATTTTACTGCGTTTTCAGGTCATGCTCTTAATAATGTTCTTAACATCCTTATTTGAAAAGAATTAAGATTAATGAGACCGAAACAATGCTACCCTACGTTCTACAAATAATTTGTGTTATCAGACCTGTTCCAACCGAACCGAAGTCCCTAAAGTTTTGAAATGGTAGCTATCTACACAGAACTAAGGGTAGTTAATACTGTAAACTCGTCTTATTGACAACACATTGTCGTCATTTGGTATCTTATCGCGGTATACCTGCCGTCAGTACAATGATAAAACGTGATAAGACCAAGTTAATCATTATAATGTAGGTACACCTCCGTTTTATATTCTACGAATTATTTTTTACCTTGTATAAAATCAAATTGAATCTCAATTAGTCTGATTTTTAAATTGTAAAACCTAAATCGTACCTACTTGATGGTTATTTTCATTAACGTTGATTATTAAGAATTAGCCTCTGCTAGCGGCTTCGCCTGCGTTTCGGGATAAAAATTGCCCAGCATCTGTTATTTCAGCCTGTAACCTATCTGTACAAAAGTTCATCCAAATCCGTCCAGTAGTTTATTCATGAAAGAGTAACAAACACTTGCAGTAATACATGCTCATAAACCTTCGCATTTATGTATATATATATGTAAGTATATATACATACTATATACAATTATAGTATCACATACTAGCTCCTACAAGCGGCTCATCAACGTTCCTGTAGGAGCCTATGTGTTATTCGGGAATATAATCTACCCAAATTTCATCCTAATTCCTTCAGCCATTGTGACGTAAACGAGTAACTAAAACACAAACTCGCTTAGTCACAAACTTTCGCATTCATAATATTAGTATTTTGCTCCTTCTTTGTCCCTTTATTGCTGCTCAAATTTTATCTGGGCCTCTTTATAACTATTTTAACTACTGTGATAACACTGGACACCTTACCTTTCTTTAGTTGAGGAATCACTGTTACAGATGAGATTACCATGAAGAAGTTAGATATAATTTTTTAAACTTCTGCTTTAGACAAGACATTAGTGTGATTGTGTGATACATGTGATTTTGGTTACCTCTTACCGCGGCACTCTGAGACGTTAACTTTAAAAAACAATTGCTAAAGACCGAGGTAATTATTAAATGACACTGAGTACGATGATTACATATTAAATTTGGTAAATATCTTCTACTTGTAACCATGTTAGTTTATCAAAAACCTAGGTTTTTGTAAAACTGTAATTACCGCGACATATTGTTAGGAGCTTCTGAATTTGCAAGTTCAGTAGGTTCAGTAGGAATGGTGGAAGAGAATAGTAGAGAAAAAGATACTACTTAATAGGCAGTACTTTATAGGTACTAAGTAGGTATCTAGATAGATAGATAGATAACTAATTTCGATGGCGAGAAGAATAAATTGACATGTGCTTATCAAACTGTAGATATTAAAGATCTTGAAATTGTGTCAGTTACCTATTGCATACTTTGGGTTCACGATATTTTGATGTCATACATACATTCGGTAAACATTCAATGGTTTGTGTGATTTAAATAATTACATCGATAATCGGTAATGACTGGTTAGTAGTTTGGCGTCGATGCCATTATTGTCACGTAATGATTTTGATTGCGTAGTAAATTATACTTTAATTTGTTATTTATTACATTAACATTCGTTTAAATAAAATACTTAACTACGAGGCTCACCCCTTATCACATAAGACTTATTACATAAATAGTCAAAAGTGGGTGTTACATTGTACAGTGGCATTAGGTGAATGTGCGCATCTAAACCTAATCTTTCGAGGATAAAAGGCGTGATGTCTTAACTACAACGTACACTAGTTTATACTAAATTTTTCGGATATGAACCCAGGATACAGTATGTTAAGAAATTTGTACCATCTATTTAAAAATACCTCTAGAGCCTATACCCCTCTTCAACAGGCAAATGTGCACAGAATTAGTTATATTTTTTGAAACATTCATACCCTCAATCTTAATATTTTGGTACTGATGTCTGAATTTAATAGTTAAAGGAACTTATGTAACAGTCAAACTCAAAAATTTGGTTGTTTCAACGCCAACGTCAAATTCGAAGTTGAAAATTATTTTTGTGTTGGATAGTCCATTTATGGAGGAGGGCTCTAGCCTAGCCTGTAGACTATCAAGTTTAGAATATGGTAAATAAAAGTATGTTAAAATGTTACTAAGGATCCAAATTTCGGAATTTTGGTCGGCCAAAAAGAAGACGCGTCTACTTTCGAGTAGGTGTTTTTACTAATTGTCTTTTTTAATTGTATTGTAAGTACCTTTAAAATGAGGTATACAGATGCACTTCGTGCTTAAGGGTGCGAATGGGTAACAAATAAATTAATATTATCTAGATATTGCGGGAAGTGTGGGTTCGTAAATCTTGTTTTTCTTAAACCTCAATCACCTTTAATATTTACTTTATAATTCATAAAGTACCTACTTAGATATTTATATCCCTAATGCGATTATTTAAAAACTTAAGTAAAAATCTCCGGATATCTACGATAACTTAAAACTTTTCTATGTTAACATGGGTTCATGGGTCTGGGAATGTAGTAACTAAAGAAAATACTTAAAAGTACCTAAAGGTATATTCAGTACGTACATGGTGCTACATTAGTTACTCCCAGGTTTCCGCAACGTTATTCGGCGTTAGTCATTTCGTGTCGTGGTGCGTGGAAGTTAGCCAACGCGACATCAAAGCTTTTGCCACATCATAAATTAGGTCTACCTGTGTAGGTACTACATGCTCAGAACTAAGAAAATATAGCTATATTGTTTATTTTTCAAATTTACCAAGATTATCAACTCAGCCAAAAAAGAAGGTACTCAGCCGAAAAAGGAACATAATTTATTTGGTGTTTGTAACTGTCGAATGTGTTATCATTACAAAACAGGTACCAACCATCCTACAGATACTATAGGTAGCTAATTCCAATTCAGATATTATCTTACACTGTTGCTAGGAAAATACTTCACAAGATTTATAAACGTATCCCGTTTAACTCGGTTCGTTAGAGCGCGTTAGGACTGCCAACACGGAAGGCCTGCATGTTACATCTACAACGACGCACTTCATAAGCTCCCTTAAAATATTGATATTTCGAATATCAAAGGTATTAATTTAGACGGGCGGGCGCTTGGCTCTGCTCTCGCCGCCGCCGCTGCAGGAGCATACCGCGATGGACCATTGCAAGCGGTGCGTCTCTTCCGTGTCGGTAAATAGACGTGCGCGTCGTTTCTTAATTGCGAGCTGGGGCCGATGCTTTATAAGCTCCATAACGTCCGTCGACGTGCGTCTCGGCTGCGAAATGTTTGCTTTAATTATTATTGGAATGGAGGGTAATTCTCTGTGGTTTTGTTCGGCTAGACTTGGCGATGTTCCGAAACGGGTAGCGATGCAAATTGCCTTGGCTGACGCCCAACGCGGCGCTATCAGGCTCAGTAGCTTCACCAAATCACACCTTCCTCCTGACTCTTGACCTGAACGTTGTACCTGCACAGGTCATGCACTCTATACTTACAAATGATTATTTCTTTGAATTAATGTCATACTAATAAATACAATTGATAAAGATAAAATGATAAATTCATTACTGTTGAAAGGGTTTATTTAATTTAAAAATATGTCTGATATAATTATTATATTTAGCAGAAAAATAGTAGGTAGCGTTCCCGGTAATGATAGGCAATTATGTGACCAGTCCACATACATAGGTATCTACATGTGTATCTACATAGGTACCTGCTCAACAATCAAATTGACAAGTCTTCGTTCAATATTTCCTTTTAAATGTTGTCCTTTGAATGCGTAATAAGAGAAACTCCTTGCGCTGAATACAAAGAACGAAATGGGTAGTCACAAAAAAAATACGCCCAAAGTTCATTCAACTGTTTTTGTAATCTGTGTACTTGTTATCGAATGTGGTACATTTAAACAACTATCTTTAAAATAATTTGTCCTATATTTAGTACTATACAATGCATAAACAATCCATGTAACAAGTCCTTATTTCGATCCATGTCCTAATGCAATTGTAATTGAACATTATTATAATCTAGAGAAATTCATTGTCATCTAAAATATGTGAATAAAATTGTAAACCTGGACCTCCACAGAAAAAAATAAGTTGTAGGTAACAAGTAAATACAAACTGTTCTTTATCCATTCTCATCGAAGGAATGAAAACAAACCATTGAATTTATCAACTACTTGTTATCCTACACAAGTCGTAAACGTCAACTGTGGCCAACATAATTATTACAATCCTCCTTGTCGATGTGTGAAGTTATAGTTGTAGTAATTTGCCACAATTTATACTTTATCCTGGTTTCGCGAATTGTGATCAAAATAATCAACCTAAAA